TTTCTCCTCTCCCTATGGTTTTTCTACCAATGTAGACCGTGTCATTGATCCTCTAGCATCATAGCCAAGATATTTTCTCTTTGCATCCTGTATGTGAATGGAATATGATTGGGATTTGATTCAGGGGCACCTCATGTTCTTTAAAAGGGAAAGGTTATACTTTAAATGAAGGTCTAGCAATTAAATGTTGTAACAAATATATATCTAACACTCCCGATATAGGTATTCATTTCTCTGGTTTCTTTGGTTTCATTGTGGAGTAATCATTTTTAGAGTAAAGCATGATTGCAGACTTTTAGCTTCAATCTATTTCCATTTAGTTGATTTTGAATATTGTTATTAAATGGTGTAATTCCATCCAGTATACACTGCAGCCTTACTATGTGCAATATATATTGGATTTGGAAGGTGTATAACTGAGGGTAGTGCAAGAACAAAAAGTCAAGCTCAATGACCGATAAGCAATATCTATTTAGATTTTACATGTATTGATGTGTAATCAATCAATAAACTGATTATCTTGTGTATCTGCCCCCGGCCAAATTAAAGAAGTAATGCGTGCACGCTCCTAAAGTAATTCACACCAGACACAGGTTTCGGGTTAATGAAAAACTTGAGGAATGTTTATTCTGAGGGTACGGCATGTCCCTTATAAAGCAAAATTACATCATATGCATTGTCAGAGATAACATGGAATAATACATCAATAATTGGTTAGCTGTTAAGTGGTTCATTTAGTGCTCTTCCTTCCGGGTGCGATGCCACTGGTATCTTGGAGGTCTCCCCCAGATTCCAGCGCTATCTTGTTAATGAGGGTGTTAGTCGATGTCAAAAGGGAAACTCCCTAGGGGCCATTTTAGGTAAATCACATAGAAAGTTGAATAATGCTGATTGTAGTTATACTGAGTAAATGGGCATTTTACCAACATGGATTGGGTTAATATTTTTGTCCACAACATGTATGATGACTTTAGATTTTATAATGATGATTATTGATATATACTTAGAAAGTATAACAAGTTCTTGAGTAGTATATTAGCATTTAGTGTTTTTTGTTTATATATTTTGACCCATAGTGATGTGTCAAAGGAAACTGCAGATACAACCATACTGCAACTAGTAAAATGTATAGAGAACACTCTTTCCAAAATAAGAACAAATATTATCTAGTTATATGCAAGCAAAGGTCAACCTCCAACAGAGCACAATTTCAGCTTAAAATCTATTCTTTATTGCCTCTTTTTTTAGGAGCCGCTTTGCACATGTTTTCAGAAGCTTGCCTACAACTCTTGGCTCTGCTATTATTTTGTTTGTTTGTTCACTCGTCATCCCCACAATACCCTATTCTATTGAGCTGATCATTGGCTTTCGTCACTCTTGTTTTAGATATTTGAGGTTACATTTGTGTTTTATTGAAGCAGAGTGGGAGCGACATTCTCATTGCAAATCTGAGACAGCTTCCAAAGCAGCAATCTGTTAGATTACAACATCTTACTTCATATTTGTCTCCGCAAAGCCTACATTACTCAACTAAAATCTGTAATGAATACTGCTGTCAGGCTTATATCACTTACAAGCTGCCCCTATCACACCTCATCCCTTCTCAAATAAAGGCCATCTCAAGGCCTGAACCATTTTTATTGAATGCCTTGTTTAGTTCTATCAGATTTTCCTATATTCTCCAGTTCTAAAGACTCCCTTAATAGCCATCTCTATTAAAGCTTATCATATGCCTAGGTAATTTCTATATTTACATAAACCGTCGCGTATCACTTGACTGAGAGTTCCGCAGTCCATTTCACTCTCCAAGTTTCAACTCCAGAGGCTTCACACACACTTCTTAGTTTAAAGTACCTCGCCAGTCGCCACCTCCCTCCCCAATACACTTTTTCTTTATGTAGTATATTTGTTTGAGCAAGGCCATCTTCCCATCTAGCTTCTATTCACATAAATTCTTGGCTATTTCTGTATTTATATCCCATTGTAATATTAAAAATTTCTGCAAAATATGTTGCCAATATACTCATGAGAATTTCCCATATATGGCTTACATTGAATGGGAGCAGGTTTACCATCCATACACTAATAATTTCAATTAAAGTAAGGGGAAATAAATTGGAGATGTGCTTTCCTATTCATATACTGTTCTAAAAAAATTATATTAGATTTGAATGATCCTCTTTAGTTTTTGTTCATACACTCAGCTACAGTATCTGAGAGTTTGAGCAGTACTGCATGAAAACTATGTCCCATACAGTGTAATTCGTATTTTGTGTCTGTTATAGCATAGCGTTCTCTTCTAAAACGTCCTTGTCCACTAGCACTTTTAAATGTATATATAATCTATATAGATTTCATTAAAATTATTTATTAAAACTATTTTTAAATTAATCCTTTCTTTCGAATTGACCATGCCAAATGAGAAAAGGCTGTGGTTTTAAAAATCCTCCTCCTAAATGGATGACAGGAGTATCTCCATGTCCATATGTTCATTCCCTTCAGTAACTAATACAGGATTTTTTGGAATTATTCAATTAACGACTACAAAGAAAGAATTGTGTACATATACATATATTATTTCTATAAGAATTGACTACAGTGTTTTCTTTTTCAAATGGTGAGAGATGTAAGAGGAACCTTGTGTTTGGTGAGGATCTATGCATGTATTAGGCCGGTGTCGTTTATGGACCTGACCAGATAGGCACCCTTTTTCAATCCGTGGTATGCAGGACTAGATTAAGGGCCCATTGGGACTGATGCTGACAATTATGATGAATCATAATTATAGAATCGTATCTACAGAAAACACTAAAACAGTCATACCCCCCCAATCGTCATGTTTCCGGGAGGGAAACTCACAGGATATAGCTATTAGAAAAAACATAACCTGTGCTAATATCTCCCTTTCATTTTTCAAGTAAATCCATACCCTGTAACAGCAGTGTCCGGTGAGGCATGATTCGGTGGGAGGAGTAAAAGGGTGGGCCACTGACGTGAGTCACTTATCCAGAACTGCCCAAAGGGGAAAACATGCCCCAAAAAAATCTACCCAGGGAATTAGGTCAGCCTGGAGTGAATGCATGTCAGGCTGCCTGCAAATCATGCAGGATGACCAACTAAGGGCTTACTATGATGACAGCACCCTGAGCTTGGCATAAATGCGTCTAATGATGCGCTCGCTCAATGCTTTCTACGGACTGTCCCCTAGCCCTCACTTGTCCACTCCTCTCCTTACCTTCGTACTAGCAGACAGAAGCTCCTGTTACACAGTCTGGGACAGAGAAAAGGTGTATGTAGTAAATGTAGAAGAAAGGGAATACACCACACAGTTAGCGAGACTGAAGCAGCAAGAGCATTTGCATAGTGCCCAAAGTCAGCTTTACCTTAACTAACCTTGTCAGCCAGTCCACACAAGTTTTGATTCCCTACATTCACATGTGAAGAGTAGTAAACAATATATATATTTATTTTTTTAGCAATGGGCTTATTCCATGGGTATGCTCCATCAGCCCCTATGTTAATCCGACCCTGGTGATATCGTATGACAGGCAGACCACTTGGCTTAAGTGCTAAATAGTCCCTGCTTTCAGTTGATTCATAGGATTTAAAATAACATGTTGATTCTGGGACCAGGTGGGCATAAGCCTGATCTGTAAAGGAGAATTGTGCAGGTATCATAATCTGGGTAGCAATGGCGTCTGAACAGAAAATCTCACTTTAATCCCTTGCTGTTTGTGGTAAACTCATTAGATGGAAACCTAATACAAGAACTCAGATTAGTTCTGAAAAAACTACCACTATGGTAAGTGATCCAAAATGTAGATGACAACTGGAATGCCAATTGATTAGATTACCTTAATCTTGTGTTTCATGTTTTACGATAACTGTAATACTTTAATAGGTGTGACTGAGGAAGCTTTGATTGAACAGTGGAACTGAAATTAGGATTATAATTTGACAATACCCGGGAGCAACAACCAACTTCATGAACACGTTTTAATTAAAATATTATACTTTAAAGGGAAATCTACACTTTTGAGGATTTGTAATATTATTTTCACATATCCTTTCTATTTAACAAACATGTGTTTGTGACATCTGAAATATAATATGAAATATAGAAATCCACACTGCTGTATTAACTTCCATCCTAATGTTCTCCATCTTTTTAAATCATAATTAAAAGGTTTTCTAATTAAAAAAACAACCTTTTTACCTGATGTGAAGGACCGCCTGGCACCCCGACCAGGTACCTCCGTCATTCGCTGCTTCCTAGTACTTGCGAGCACCATAAGCACTGTACTGGAACACCACAACCACCATAAATCCCATGAACCGCCGCAGCTTGGTTGGGGTCTCGCAGTCCTTTGCCCACCCTGGGCCCAAGACCAGGTTCCAGCTTTCAGTAGGTATACCTCTCCTAGTCCAGAGAGCATAGCAGGAACAGCTCTTATAAGATACTCAGGGGAGTATTGTGATACAGCAATCCCCAGAGTGAATATAGTTCTCCAATCCCCCAAACATGAGCCTAGACTTCATGAAGGGTAAAGCGAATCTCACTTTAATGGTAGCCACAACTGGCCTTTTATGACAGTCCCCATGCAAGGGGCACTCCCCCCTGAACCTGAGAGTAAACCACAGTAGAAATAAATACACAATCACATTGGCTCTCAGGTCCAGGACACTCCCATACAAAATCAGAGAATCGCTCCTCTGTGCCTTGGAGATAATTGGATCAGGAAACAAACCCCCCCAAAATACCTTAAAACACACAAAACCCCTGATCTGGGTGACCAACATATCCAAAAATCAACCAGATCAGTTCAGGGGTTCAGGAATTTCCTGGAAGTCTTATTTTTGCCCCACCATAAACATGGTCCCATACCCAAAACAGTTCCAAAACAGTTCGTCACACATGACAATTATCATCAACAGAGCATAGAAAGAGTAGTTAAACAGAAACAATGTTTATGTTTCTCCTTTTCCAAACCAATGTGTGCCTTGGCTGTGCCAGGATTGATCTAGTTTGTAATGTCAGTTGTTAAATCTTCTATTTCAGTGTCTAGATTTTGTCAGTACCTCCATTCTAATAAAACAGGGAAATACATAAATCTTGGACTGCTGGTGGGACATAAGAACTGGTTTGGGAACCACTTTTCTATATGGAAAAAATGGAGCATCACTTGAAGGAAAAAAAAAAATAAGTTAGGTAGTTATATAGGTTCTTATTTAAAAACAATCTGTATACTGGTCATGAACATTACAAAGTGTGGTAACAATTGAAATGAACACCATGTGGAGTTCAAACAATGCTTGCCTGCTGTTCGATATCAAGTCATGGAGAGTTTTACAGTATAACTCATAGACAAAAGTCTAAGCAAGTTATAAAGAATCGATAACAGGTTCAGAATTCAAGGTCATATCATTAATATGTTTAAAACATATTCCTAAAATAATTCACTCAAGATATGGTGTTTCAAGTTCAGTGTTAATTAGTAATATTGATAGGACACTACAAGAAAGCCTGCAGACTTCTTTTCTTGTGTTTTAATATTGGTTTTATATCTTCTTTTGTATTTTTTCTCTTATTTTATCAAAGCGCTCAAAAATGTTTCAAGTTTTATGTTAATTAGTAATATTGATGGGACACTATATTCAAGTAAAGCTTTGGACTTCTATTCTTCTGTTTAATATTTTTGTGATACCTTCTTTTGTATTCTTGCTCTTATTTTCTCTTGTCCTTTCCTGGTTCTCATTCTATATCTACCAGTGTCTTGTTTTCTGGTAACAATTCCTCCCTTCATGCAGTATCAGTTAGAGTCACCCAACACTCTGTCTTTGATCGCAGTCTATTTTCTCTTTATATTACCTCTCTTGGAAAACATCAATTCTTTTGGATTCCACTACCATCTATGTAGCAACATAGAATGTGGCGGCAGATAAGAACCATTCGGCCCATCTACTCTGCCCAATTTTATAAATACTCTCATTAGACCCTGGTGTATATAGCAGATATACATCTACTCCCCTGATCTCTCTTAAACTGTCCTAGAATACATCACATTGCCTCTGTTCCATCTCTAATTGGATGTCCTCCCACTTTCTAAAACTCAATCTTTTTAAAACTGAGCTCTTTGTCTTTTATTTTTACAATACTAATCCTCCATTGTCGCATTCCCTGCAAGTTGATGGTACACATATTAGCCGTTCTTGCTATCTCACTGCTTTAGTGTGATCTCTGATTTCAGCCTCACCGTTACATATTACATCCAATCTGTTGCCATATCTTGCTAATTCCTTAAAAACATTGCCTACATCCTCCCCTCTCTAGAAACCATACTGTTTGTTTACAGTCTATAATGAATGCTGCTGCCAGGCTGATTTTTAACTGTTCAGTCTCTAACACGTCATCCCTCTGTCAATCGTTACTCTGGCTTCCTGGATTTAATTCAAAATACTAACTCTTAACTAGAAATCTCTCAGTAACTCTACCTTGCTTAATTTCTTCATTAATGCAACCTAACGCTATCTCAGTGACCTTCTCCTTTCCACTGCTCTTATCGTAATGCTAACAGCCCATTCATTTACAGTATGCCTCAAAGGCAGTTCCATTCTTATGGAACAGCCTGCCTTTCCCCATCAGAATATCCCCTACTCTTCCATCCTTTAAAAAGTCTAATAAAACTCACCTCTTCAGAATAGCCTATGGTCTCCGAGGGTAACTGTCATTCTTCAAACCTGTATCCTACTCTCTGAATTTATTTAGCGGCTCAATTCACAACTCCACTCTCACCTTCAAATTCTGCTACTTTCTCACCCTTTCACTTGGCTACTTTTTCAAATGCTGTCATTCTTTTGTGTTTTTATACCCCATCTCCTCTAGATTTCTTTTGCTCATTCAAACTGGGTCCTCATCAATCTAGTGTTCCTGCCGAAATTTGTAACAGTTTGTCTCATTTGTTGGTAATGAAAATCTCATTAAAGAAAAGATTTACATGATTTTTAAACATTTTTTACTGGTCTAATTTCTAGAGAAGTGACTGTTCCCCTTTAATAAACAAGCTCAATATTGTAAAAATGTTCCATAAATCACCTACAAATGCATAAAGACTTAACAGATTGTCTGGATATAAATGGCGTATTTTTTTTAGTCAAAATGGAGTCATTCATCGGAGCCAAGTATAGATCTGTTAACACTTTAACACGTTATGTGGAAGCATTTATACTTGTTAAAGTTACTTATCATCTATTTGTTCTAATCTTCTCACAGATTCACAGTCATTTTTGTATATTAGCAATGGTTTCTAACAGGATATTAATACATATCCCACTTTTAATTAAATCATATGGAGATTTGCAACTTTTCAAATGAAATGTGATACTAACGACAGATTGTGTTGATGAAACTGGTCCTAGATTTTTCCCCCAGATGTATTATATTAAATGCTTGTTCCGTAATACAGTTAGAAAATATAAAAAAAGTAAATTTCCCACAGTAGAATCTAAAATTGCATGAAAAGTGCACCATAGCAAAGTGTTTCTTTAACAGCAAAGAATATATATTCTCTGGCTATTTATCAATTGTTACTACTTGCTATAGAAAAATATGATATTTCATCTGGTTTGCTAAGTGGTCCAAGGTTTGTTTAGATTATTTTACTTCCTCTGTCTCAATGGGAATTTTCTATGAATGACTGTTTTTCTGCAAAATTGATACTTAATAAAGCATGTTAAACACATGTCTCTAAGTGTCAATTAATCAATATAATTTTCATGTCAGATTGAAAGGAATGTCACAGAAGCTACTAGACACACACACTGCTGTACATCTCTATTTCGAAGCCATAATCTGTGTCTGTGTAGTGTGTACATTACTTTCTGATTCTTATCTTGATTTTCTGCCAAGGGTTACATTTATCATAGAGTCAAAGATGTTATGACATAAGGTTCCACAGATAATATGAATTATGCCCTTCACAAAATCGACTATTACCTTTATCTCAAAATTTCACTTATATAAAGTTTATATCTATATAGTAATACAGTTAGTGAGTATGTGAATAAAAAGCTTTACATATTGTTTTTGTAAACAATTGTTCTCCACGAACACAGAATAAAACTGTTGTATATACACTTATTTGGAAGAAAGTGGCACATGTAAGCAATTGGACAAACAGAAGTGTGGGACAAGCAGACTCTAATTCTGGCGGAATTTGACAAATGGAGAATTACTCCCAAATGTACAGACTTTCTATGGCTATTGCTTCATGGACTATGTCACCAAGTAATGGGTGTCTACTTTTTATTTTACTTTAATAGGAAATACCAACATATATATTGCACATACTATCAAATCAAAGCAATTATTGCCATATGTATATGGCTCAGTCCAATTTGGGCCATTCTGGAGAGTAGAGGTTGCGTTACAATATATTATATTTATATATCGCTTTCATAGACGTTATTCGCAGCTATAATTGCTACTTGGAATTGTGTTAAGGGTAAACAGATTGTTGAAATCTTGCTAAATTCTTTAAACTTAATTTTCCATAGATTTTTGAGTGACTCTATGTAAAAAGATAAAACATAACTTAATAGCCACCCCAAATAATTAGTCCAAAATCCTGAGGACATTACAGAACGTCTTAACTTTTGATTCCATGAAAAGCAGAACTGCCAAATTCAGTGGAACTAGTTAGTTACCTCTAAAATGCTAGTGTGATTCACCCAAAATGTCTATTAGTTATGGTGCATCTCAGTTACATAGACCATAACGTTAGCTCACTTAGCAACATGCAAAAATTGCTTAATGGTATGTAATGTCTTACTTGGGAAAAAAAAATGTTTTTCAGTAGCGCAAAATGAAGTATGGGGAATATGATATTTTGGATCTATGCCGAAAACAAATGTTGAATTAATGTTATTGCCTTTTCGTAACTGTGAATGTGAAACGTCTAGTAGATGTATTGTTTGTCTACTAGATTGTCTTTCTGAGTATGATTTGTCATCTACAAAAAAGGAAGAGATGGAGTATGCAACAGAGAACAGAAAGGAATAAAGCACTGGACAGAACCAGATCCTAAATCTTAATTCATATATAACATTTAAGATTTAACCTGTAAGATAAAAAGTTCATTGGATGGACTAAAGGGAACAAGACTAACCACAAATAAGTCACAAACAAGTCAAACTAGCATTTTTTCATTTTACCTGGATTGCGGGAAAGCAAAATAAATCTTAGGAGCTTCTTTTTCCATCAGCTGCATAACCTTCACCTTTAATATGTGTAAATTCAGAATCTATTCATGGCGTTAAACATATATTCGAGAAATTAGATAAATGAAGAGAAGGGGAGGTAACAGAAGCTGCCGCTGTGTAAAATTACAAGCGAGTGTTGAGATATCTGTGAGATACTTCTCACTAATATTGTCCTATAATAATTCACAGTCCATATCGAATGAGTTTCAGTTGCTGAGATATTCCACAGTTGGAAGCCATATTACTTAATCTCACATACTTTTTTATTTAGACAGATTCCTTTTCTATAATGTAATGTGTTTGGATCTTTCCCTTCCTTCCTTTCTTTCCTCTCATAATACAGCTCATACAGAAGTTGGAGATGGTTGCAAATATTATCATGTATTATCGTTTAGTTGGCCAAAAAAGTTGGCCAATAAATTATACCACCAATTTGTCCCAACTACTGTGTAAATTGTTTTAAATGTACTAGTTATGATTGTGGTCAATGCTCTGTACAGCCAGTTCCACACTGATCCTAACAGACAATTTCAGCTAAGTGGTTTTGTCTACTACACTTCAGTTCACAATAATATAGCTCTAGCATGTCTTAAATGTGGTGAAGTGACTGAAAGGCACTGTGGTGTTCTCGCTTGGCTCCGTGGTATGGGCCATTCTATTGCCAATATTTGTTTTTGGTTTTTGCAGTGTCTACACTTGTCAACAAAAGTAGTGACTGAAGTAAGTAACAAAACACACTATGTTGATAGTAATGTTGGTAAATTGTTAGCTCTCCCCAGAAAAGGAATTTTTAGGTAGTGTCATGGACCCAGGGTTGCAGGGTAGGGGTTCTTAGAAAGAGAATAAATGGAATCATGTGAAGAAGACTTGATGGGGAACTGTATGTACTGTCAATTATCCTATTGTATGCAGATGACTCTCTGTGGTTATAAATACCTCTGCACAGCTACAATCAAATCAGTTC